CTATCCCAGCTGGACCCAGGACAAGAAGCCAGAGAGCAGGCCCTGTACTGAAGTACTTTTGTGTCTCTAGGATCTACAGCTAGGAAATTACGATGGTGAATGTTACTGGAGCCTGCTACAGAGGCAGGGCGACAGGATGTAGCATTAACATGTCAGCAACCCTGGATTATCACCAAATCTTTTAGTGGAAAATCCTTCTGTTGTCTCTTTCACAGAGTCCATTTCATTAGATTAAACACATTTCATTTCAGGCTTCTTGTCCTCTCATGCCCACCCTAAACTAGATGGCACCAAAGGCTTTTTCACTTGCAAATTCTGGAGGAAACCCAAGGATAATTACTGGACATGGTTAGTCCCCTAATACACATTTACCACTTTGAAGACAATAGACCTTAGACAGAGATTTGTTGCAGGCTTCAGATCTTGATATTCAAGGGAAAAAAGGTACTTTCTGCTTGTTACCTGCAATAGGGTCACACTGAAAGATCTGATATAATCCTAGACTGACAAAACACTCCTGACTAGAGCTACTAACAGGTCTGAGTAGAGTGTGCCTCTTTCTAGGATGGCAGTGGACTGTCTCACCCAGATGTCTGCTGGATTCTGCCAAGATTTTTGTTTATTTTCCTCTCCTTTAAATGCCTATGTGGCCAGAGAAGAACTATATTAAGTAGCACAGTACCACCCAAGAGGCAGCCATGTAAACTGTGCATTTAAAGAGAAGCCTGCACCAAATTAATTAAAGGTTAATAGCAAAGGCTTTTTAAGCTAGCTGTCTTGGTAAAAGAAACACTGCAAAATCATTTTCAAAATGCCTCTTTAAGGATCTTCTCTGTGTTTCTTATTCTGAAGAATTCCCTAGGGGAACAGGACTGGGAAACCCTAGTAGGATTTTGCTACTTGGCAATGCCTCCACCTGCTGTCAAAAAGGAAAATTATCATTTTTTGGTTCTTGAGGTATCTCCAAACAGCATTACTAAAATCAGACTTCTGGAAGAATGTGTCTGTTTTGGTTAGCTCCAGATAGATTAAAACACACAGATCCTGCTCTGGTACTGCTCTTTGGCCCTCTTAGCCCCTGCAGAATATCACCGAGCAAAACCCTTTTATATTTGGAGTTTTGCTATATTTCAACCAGTTTCCATACACTGTCTGTGTTTAGTAACATTCTTCCTTTAACTATGATTCCTTCAGAATCAATGGCATTCCCCATGTCACAACAGAAGCAGGACTTTCAGGAGCCATACACATCCAGAAATTATTGCTACCATCAACTGTTACTCAGATATGATAATTTATTTATTTACAAACTCTCCTAAAAGCCTGTATTTAGAAAACTGAATGTTTTATCCACAAGTTTTTAAATGCTAGAATTAGTGGCCGTATTTTCAAATGCAACTGAAAGTTTCTAAATAGAAGGGGCTGAATTTTTAGAAAACACCAAAACCTAGTCCCTCAAAGGTTTTTAAACTCTCAGATCATATTTTGACTAAAAACCATCCCTCGGGAATCAGCAGAAGTTAGACACCTATCCACCACTGCAAAGCTGGGCCTAAGAATTTTCCTTTGGAAAATAACACCCTTCTAAGGTGATGGAAACTGAATACACAAAAGCAACAGTTATATCCAGAAATTTCACAAGCATGGTTACAGTTTACCCATATATCAAAATATTAGTCTGTCTGAACAACGAGGGGTATACAGTTAATTTTCTGTCCATTTGACTGAAAAGCAGAATCTATTTCTCTCTTACTACCTTGACAAGTTATAATCACGTTTATAGCAAAGTTCTAAGCTGCATTCTTCTTTATCATCCACAATAGTCTGTCTCTTTTCTTTTTTTTTTTTTCTTTTTTTTTTTTTTTTTCAAGGAAGCGCAAACCTGTAAGGAAAGGCCTTTGGAAGTACAAAATGGTTTTTTGCACAGTAAAGCTGCTTGTCAACGGACTCGCAGTAACTCAACCAGTAAGTTGCAGAGAAGTAATCTTTTATCTTGTAATATTTGGGGAGTGCACAGCACAGCAGTTCATCGTGTGGTGGTGGTACATGCAGCATTGAAAGAAACTGCAGCTGTTGCCCAAATTTAGTTTGGCATCCTCAGCTAAGAATTGCTGATGCATAAAGACATCCGCTTTTATATTCACAATGTCCTACAATCAGGGGTTTCGTGCACAAGCATCCCATTTTATGTTTTTTTTTAATGTGTATTCTAAATAGGCCAATGCTCTTTTGATAGGGATTGTTTGCTTTTTACTATATTTAACATTAGTGGCTATCCTGACAGCGAGGATTGAAAAGACCACTCCCTTCACAGATTTACAAGAAGAAAAACATTTCAAAGTAACATTTACCTTATAAAATGAAACGTGCTGAGATGTCCAACAATTAAGAAATAACCCAGCCCGTCTCTCCACACCTGACAGGTGTAAATCCGTACTGGACGGGGGAGATGGACTGCACGGCGCCCCGGAGAGCCGTGCCCTTCAGAGACCGGCAGCCTCACGCTCTCCACACCAGCCGCAAATCTCTTTCCCAGCAGCTGGACTGCTCTGGAGGGAGAACGCTGGTAAGTGCTACAGGAAATCACCTGAGAAACAGAAACAACTATCTCCATTAAGGATTTCTCAATACCCTTGGCAGTCATGTTTCCCGCCAAAACTGACCTTCCTCACAGGCGCTGCCCGGGAAGATGGTGCACGCCCGCTTCCTCACCCCGTCCCTCCCCTGTGAGGAGTATGAGAGTGGGAAAGGCTCTGTGCCAGCAAAACCCCATTTCTTCAGCAGCTTCTCCCTCCCATTGCCCCAGCAGGTTTTACAGCGTGTGTAAATCCCCCTGGGTGGTTTCCACCACCTTGGTAGCCACCCGGAGCCACCTCAGAGCTCACAGCTGAAGGGACCCTTCCCAGGCAGATGCCCGCTGCTGGCTGTGGAGATGCTCTTTGCACATGGCTGATAAAACCCAGCCCTGAGCTTTGGGCCCCACTGCTGGGAGCCTCTCAAGTCACCTCTATTGGCCCAGCCATGGCCACAGGCAGGTATGGGCTGGCCTCATGGCTGGCAGTCGCTGCCCTCAGCTGCACTGGCTGTATGAGGCATCCTGCTTTCTGCCCCACAGTGAATCAGATGTATTTAAACAACCCCGTTAATGTAGGATAGAGATGGACAGTTTCTTGCTATCCAGATGGATTCCAAGCAATTCACCACAGGAGAGCAGAGGCTGGGCAGGGTAGAGTGTGTGGGATTTACAGTCAAAGGTCCCCAGGTTCAAGCCTGGAGTGGGAAGATGGAGAAGTTCCACATGCTCAGCTGCTGCCTCCTGCCCTGCCTGAGGCCTGGTCTTGCCACTGCTCCCCTGCCTTTTCCTGGCCCATCCCTCACCCTGGGGGCACCCACAGCCTGACCTAGGGCTTTAACAGGAGCAAGACAAACTGGAGCACAAACCCCAACCCAACAACACTTGTACAGACAGACCCTGAGGGACCTGCCAGGATTCCTCCCCTGCTTGAAGGTCCTGTGTGGGCAGATGGTGCCTGTTGGCCGTGGCTCTTTGGCAGTATCCTGGTTTTGGGTATTGTTACCTACCACACACAGAAATACAAAATATAACCCCCCCACAGCGAAGCAAAAGAAATTTGAAAACTTCTGATTTCAGTTTCAAAAGACCCACAACAGAATAAGCAGTCACCCTGATCTGGCAGAGGTATACTTTTTGGAGAGTATGTTTTTGGTCCTGCACAGACATTTCCCTCTTAATCATGTTCCCAATCCCATGTCAAACAAATAATCCTGTTTTCATGTCAAAATTGAGATTTATTTTCTTGCATATGTGGAAGCTGAAATTTTGGCTGGTGTTCCACACACTTCAATGCCTGTTAGTTTCACTTTGCTGCATTTAAAAAAAAAAAAAGTGTTGAACGCTCTTGGACTTGTTACAAGTGCAATTAACTCTGGCCCTGATGAACTTCATGCATAGTTAGCTTTAGGTAATAACTTGTGTCAGTGCTTAAATTAGTTTGTAATACTCAATTCAGTGTTCAAATAGGAGGTTTTCATTAAATATCTCATTAAAGGTTCATTAAAACAGGTCAAATCTCAGGGGCTGGAGTTGAGAAATCCACTATCTGTGGCATAGAGGGAGAAAAAGCACTGAGAAATTACTTGCCTTGATTGTCAAGAAAAAAATATGTGTTTCACTTCTTTCAGCTGTAGAAAGAAGCCTGTGTGTTGGCTTAACAGAGGTCGTGCAGGATAGTTCCCAGTCTGAAGAACTTTTGTGAGCACTAATTCATTTTTTGGGGGAAATACTGAAAACAGGTTCTGTATATCCCAAGATAAAGTTATTTAGTGGCAAGATGAGGATAAACAAGAAGATAAAAGAAGTTGTTTAGGACCCCTAATGGCCACAAATGGGATTTTGGCATGGAGAATCAAATCAAAGCACAAATATATCCTACACCATCAAACCACTTCAAGGGCCCATATTCTAGCTTCCCTCTAGTTTAGTCACTGCTGCACAATTTCAGTGAGTAGTGATTGTCTGAATAACAAATGGCTTCTGAAATTTAGAGAGAACTGATTTTTTTTTTTTTTTTAGTCTTTAGAACCATCAGTTATAAGGAAGAAATTTTGAAATAAACAAGCTGTCCTAATGTATGTCTAGGAATTTATTTTTCTGCATTAAAACTTGGTGTTTTGGTGTTGTTTTATGTTCACAGGCAATTTCAAGGCCATCTAGATCACTAAGTACAGCACAGCTGGTGCATACATCCTGTGGCTCACAGGCTTCAGTAATCTCAAACATCGTATTGATGAAAGGACAAGGGAAGGTGAGACTGGCTCTGTTGATTTACCAGAGGGTTTTATTTACTTTCAGAAATAAAAGCTACAAAGTGCAGGGAAGTGACTTCAGGTACTAAGGTTGCTACTTTTGGGTTGCCAGTTCATATTCAGGCTTTGCCAGAAGTGATAAGGTATCATCACTTTCTTCTTAAGTATCTCCATGCTGAAGCATAGTCTTTAGGTTCTAACAACACACCCACACCAAGCTAGCAACACTGACATTCACTGCCACTGTTTTTGGCATGTGGAAGTAGGCTTGAAATCATAGAGTAGAGCAGTGGAGCAGAGATCCACCTGCATTTTGTGGAGGAGGGTAACGATGGAGCAGAGATCCACCTGCAGCTTGTGGAAGGTAATGGTGGAGCAGAGATGCACCTGCAGCCTGGGGAGGACCCCATGCCAGAGCAGGTGGCTGCACCCAAAGGAGGCTGTGACCCTGTGGGAAAGCCATACTGGAGCAGGCTCCTGACAGGATCTGTGGAGAGAGAAGCCCACCCTGGATCAGGTTTGCTGGCAAGACTTGTGACCCTGTGGGGGCCCCATGCTGGAGCAGTCTGTGCCTGAAACACTGCACCCTGTGGAAGGGACCCACACTGGAGCAGTTCACAAAGAACTGCAGCCTGTGAGAATGCTTTACACTGGAGAATTTAATGGAGGACTGTCGCCTGTGGGAGGGACCCCACACTGGAGCAGGGGAAGAGTGTGAGGAGCCCTCTCCTTGAGGAAGAAGGATCAGCAGAGACAAGGTGTGTTGAACTGACCACAACCTGTACCGCTGAGGGGGAGGAGGTAGAGAAAATGGAGAGTAAAGTTAAGTCTGGGAAGAAGGGAGGTGTGGGGGGAAGGTGTTTTAAGATTTTGGTTTTATTTCTCATTATCCTACACTGATTTGATTGCTAATAAATTAAACTAATTTCCCCAAACTGAGTCTGTTTTGCCCGTGATAGTAATTGGTGAAATGGTCTCTGCCTATCCTTGTCTAGACCCATGAACCTTTTGTTATATTTTTCTCTCCCCCGCCCAGCTGAGGAGGAGGAGTGATAGAGTGGCTTTGGTGGGCACCTGGCATCCAGCCAGGGTCAACCCACCACAGGGCAGCAGGCAGTGTTTGTCTGTATATGTGGGAAGGAAGGACAAAGAATAAGTAGATGAGAAGTATCTACTTACAAAGGTCTGTTGGTGTTGCTTAAACTTACAACGTGCATTAACTACAGTCTTGGATAGAGAATAAGAGAGGGGTATCTCCTTAAGACCTCTGTCTGTATGTCTGAGGTTAGTAGTAATATCAAGATCTTATATGGTGTGTTTTATCAATCTCAGTTATGGGAGAGGAAATAAAAAAGAACAGATAAATTAATCTCTCAAGCTTACATATTGGTTCAAGGGCAAAATAAAAGAATGTAGACACCTTCCTGTGTGCTTATAAAACTAAATTAATTGATGGCAGCAAACAAAAAGCATATCATGAGGCTATCCAGCTGAAATTTTCATTTGTTTTTACTACCCGCATGTGGTTAAATATTTTTTCATGGATTATACTACTGTGTTAAACAGTACTGCCCATGTAGCTAATACAGAAGAAACTGTAAATGAACTATTATGAGAACTGAACATGGGCTCTCACACACAGTTTTTCTTCCATAAATTAGGGTTTGGGCTTCAGTATTGTTGGAGGGAAAGACAGCATTTATGGACCAATAGGCATCTATGTCAAAACCATCTTTCCGGGTGGAGCTGCTGCTGCTGATGGAAGGCTACAAGAAGGTGAGAGATCTCTCTTCTCTCCCTTTTCCTGCTCCAGATTCCCAAATAATGATGCCTAAAGGCAGAAGCTGAAATGAGACATGAATGACTTTTACACCTGCATCCATTATTGCATTTACAAGTCTCATTTTGTGTACATGCATGTATCATGTAACCTATTGTACAATACAGTAATAGTAACATAGTGCTATTTTTCTTTTTAAAAACAGGTGATGAAATTCTGGAACTGAATGGAGAATCCATGCATGGATTAACACATTATGATGCTTTACAAAAATTCAAGGTTATGTACTCTCCAGCTCAATTTCTGTCTTTACACACAATGTGCATGTGAACCCAACCAACTCATTATCTTTTCTTTCTAGCAGGCCAAAAAGGGACTTCTGACACTTACAGTCAGGACAAGCTTCAGCACCCCTCATTCTGCTTCCAGCTGTCTGTCACCCCACTTGTGTCAGTCACTGAGCTCTAGTACATGCATAACCAAAGAAAACAGCTCTTTCAGCTCAGAAAGTGCAACATTCTCATTAAATGCTACAAAGCCCAATGACAGGGTCATAATGGAAGTTACCCTAAACAAAGGTAAGTGCTAAAATTAGCTGAGCACTGACAAACAAGGCACTGATTCACAAAACACTCTTCATTTGCTCTCTGAATATCTTTCCTCACTAACCTGATTCTTTTATTGAACTAAGTTTTTTTTTTAATATATTAAATTAGATCTTGGTGCCTTAGTGCTAACAACTATCTATCAACAGCAGAACTTTGAACACCATCTGTCCTCAAGAGCCAATCTTGCATTTTGTTTTCCCCTCAATCCTTAGAGTCACATTCATATCCTTCACATCAAAAAATAAACCTCTTGGCAACAACTGCTAATTAGTAAGCAGATTATACAACTCTTACCCTTAATTATGTAAGCAGTTCATTTCATTCTTGAAAAGGCCTAAAAACAAATAAAACAAACAAACAAATCGATATCTTACATAGTTCTTTCACCTCCTCTCCAACTCTGATCGTCTTCTACTTATAAACAACCACTGGCAGAACGAAATAAACTTTTAAATATGGGAACATCAAAGCAATGAACAAAGCAAAGTCTCTATGAGATAACAGTATGACTTACCAAACACACAGTATGGGATCTGACATCGGAGTGGCTGTCCAGAGCAAAGAGGGTAAATTCACTAAACTCTTATACTGTATTATATAAAACAGAAAGGAGACCAAGATTATACAGCAAACAATAGCCACACATTCATAATTATTTTTTTGTTCTGTTTTTGTTTTTTTTTTTTTTGTTTTTATTTTTTTTTCAGTTCTGTCTCCTTGTAAAGTCATTTGAATTCTTATGTAACAAAGATATTTTACAAAATAAATCTGCATTGCATTGTGTATGCGGCACACCAGTAATGAGTTGCAAACCAGATCTTGGAACCTCACAAGCAATATTGGCGTGTAATTACTTTAATCATTGGGGGGGGAGGGGGAGGGAGAAAAATAACAGTATGAACAGCAGATAATACTGAATGTGAAACATTCATGAACACAAGACTTTGGTTCTGATTTGTATAGAAAAAATAATTACATTATAATTGTAATTATAATTACATTATAAATTGAAGAAAATTTTTAAAAAAATGTCTCTCCAACGGTTTGTTTTGACAGCTTCTTATGTCTTTTTTTATTCTTATTAATTCTTTCAGAGCCGGGTGTTGGCCTTGGAATTGGGTTATGTAGCATCCCTTGCTTTCAGTGTATTTCAGGGATTTTTATTCACACCCTCTCACCAGGCTCGGTGGCACATATGGATGGGAGACTCAGGTAGGAGGAGAAAGACTGTCGTATGCCACAAGTTTTTCATTGCTCTGTTTTATGGATTTATTTTTGACCTGTTTGGGCAGGAAGTCGTAGTTCTTTTTAGGAATGTTGTGTTTAAGGCATATGCACTCTTCTTAGGGTTTGAACTTGCGTATTTAGGATATGTGGGGTTTCCAGATACATAGCAACCCAGAAAATTATTGTCTCTTTTCCAGGCTGGGCTAGCTTGGGGGGGGGGCGGTCTCAGGCAAGCATATAACATTCTTTCTGGATATTTGTCAATGAGAAACTATCTGGAAAACCCCAAACTTATGGCATATTCTGGCTTGTTGAGCACTGTTTTTTCCTGACACCATTCCTCAAATTCTTTCCTGTCTTGCCCAGCAGAAATATAGATTTGCTGAAATGAGCTTTAGAGAGAGTGTAGAAATTCCCTTTGTAAGATTTATGACCAATTAGTAGTGTTGAACATATTTGGAATTGAACAGAACACAAAATTTTAATTGAAGGCTTTTTGGTTTAAATGTAGGTGCTCTGTAACCGTCTTTTCTACATGCCTAAGAGTTTAGCTGAAAGAACTGTGGTCTTATGCTATTTGAAAGTTTGTATGATACAAATCAGGGCCTTCAGTCAGCCTCTTAATCTACATGGGTATTTGCAGAAGAGCAGAGAAGGGCAATCTCTGTTTCCACGTGGGCCAAATTTGGATTTAATCTAGAAAGATTCAGTCTAGCAGTCAGCAGGATTACAATAACTTATCACTAGAATTTTTCTATTAACAAGTTATGCATATGTAGCAGAAACACAACATCCTTTCTGACCTTAAATAACACTAGCAGACCATAAAGGCATGAAAAGCAAATTGTTAACTTGAAAGGAAGGAAGGAAGATGTAGGTGAAAGCAGCAGCTGAGCTACATGCAGCAGAAAGATCACAGACACAAAGTGTGCATAGCTGAACATGAAGAAAGCTCAAAGGTTGCATGCAACAAGACTGTTAGACCAAAAAGACCTGGCCAAGTCATTCCCTTTCCATTTTCTGTAATAGGAACAGACAGACATAGTGATTTAATCAGTGATCAAATTAGAGGTCAACCACATGAATTTGCTTTTTGCTTTCACAGGGGTGAGACAAGGTTGGGAGAAAAAGAAAATCTGTTTTGTTTACATCCTCTCTCTTTTTTTAATATCTCTGCAGGTGTGGAGATGAAATTATTGAAATTAATGAAACTTCAGTACAGAATATGACTCTTAATGAAGTTTATGCTGTGCTAAGCCATTGTGATCCTGGGGCAGTGCAGATTATTATTAGCAGACACCCTGAACCACAGGTAGCACACTCTGTATTCATTCTGACTTTCAATAAAGCACATATTGAGAACTAAGACTCAGTGAGGGAGCAGGCGCTAATCTGAAACAGGTGGAAAAATGTTGATAACAAAGATGCTGCTGTCTTTATAAGCATCGCTGCACACAAACAAACCTGAGATATGCACTATCTTAAATGTAATCATGTAAGATTTGATAATCACTGGAGACAGACTTGCATGAGTTTCTGGGCTGTGAATAAGGAAATTACAGAAACAACACTGAAAGAATAAACAAAAATATATTTCTTGTTCAAGAATGAATTCCCAATATAAGAAAATAATTTGAAAGAGGGAACATACCCCACAAAAAGAAATAAATGTTTATACACCTGTCTTTCAGTAATTAAAATTTAGGTCTAGCCCAGTTTACTAGTATTTATAATTCAATTAATAATAAAGAAAAATATTTAATTATTGCAAGATTTTTCTACTAAATGCTTCTTAACATCAAATACTGTATAAATGATTATCAAGTTGAAATTGTTGCATAAATTATCATAAAAATGCAGTATCATACTGGTAAATCCAGAACTCCACTTCTTGTGAAACATGCAAAAGAACATTTATCTTTGAAAGATCTCCTGTTATCTAAACAACAAATATAAATAGCACATCCACAGATATAACTCAGCTATACTGGATATATACAAATATAATGGTGTGCATTTACTTAGTTTTAAAATTAACTGATATGTGATATAACTAGGTCTATTCGTTTCCATTAGAGGACTTGCAGAACTTGGAAATCTTTGTGAAAGGAATAAATGTTTAAATGTTACCCCACAACAATCTCATGAGAGTATAATGGCATGATATTTCCTAGGTGTCTGAGCAACAGCTTAAAGAAGCTGTTGCACAAGCTGTGGAAAACAACAGATTTGGAAAGGACAGACACCAATGGAGTACTGAAGGTAAGGGACCTAAAAGATATATAGGATGAGTATATATTAGAATTATTAGGATTCTATATTAGAATCCTTGGTAACAGTGAAATAACCTGAAGCAGAAGGGAAGAGGAGGTAACCTCACAGAACAGTGCTCCTAACTTGCCTCCTAAGATGTGTTACCAGAGTGATGAGAAAAGACCACATCTGTGATCTGTCTGATCACCAGCAAGAATTTTTGTGCAAACTTCCTCTTGCTCATCCTTTCCAATTTATAACTTCTGCTTAAAGCTTTCCAAACAACTGTCAGTAGGTGACAGGACTATGATAGCAAGGAACTGCACAGTGCAGGTGATGTCCTGGGGACAAATAGTTTGTTAATCCCCTTGTGAGGAAAGGCATATGCAGTCATGGTTAGAGCTATTTGCACAGTTCAGCTGTGACACCCTCCCACAGTAACATATTGCAATGAAACTCTTTATAGTGCCCTCTATGATTCTAAAGGACCAAACGTAACAGAATCATCAGTAAAGATGTACTTCTGAGATGTGTATATATATATGTAGGAAAAATGTAATGTTATTTTGCTGTTTGAGAATATAACTATTGACTCTGATCTACAAGCCTTTAATGCATAAATCATACTTTTGCATTAACTTATGATAGTATTTAGCTGCAAATTTAATCAGCTGAATCTTAGAAGTAAGCAATTTGCATGTATCTGAATAGACATTTTGAACATGTTCCTGATACAGGTGTTAAAAAACTAGAAATGAGCTGGCATGGAAGACACCCATGTGAAAAACATATCGAAAGGAATGCTGCTCATTGCAACCGCAGGACACAGAAGCTAATGACCCGCTCCAGCAGTGACAGCAGCTACAACCCTAGGTCCTCGTGTGGTAATGGTGCTGCATACCAACTGACTGACTTGAAAGCAAGAGTCCATAGCATTGATGTACCAATTACCAGACAGCCTGGCCTGCTGCCCTCCTTCTCTGGTAACAATTCAGAGAGAAATTCCCCTCCTACCTGTAGTGAGGGAGGTCGACCCTTGCAAAACACTAAGAAATCATCAGAGATCCTTGTTAGAAAACCTAAATCATCAAAGCCCAAACCTCCACCAAGGAAATATTTTAAGCAGGACTGTACATGTAACGACCAGTGTAACGCAGACAGAAAAGAAAAGCTTGTGTCCGAAGTAGCTGTATCACCATCTGTAAGCATTCAGGTAAAGCAAAACTTGCAAAATTTTTCTTGTGTTTGCATATTTGTGAGGCAGGGGAAGGAGGAAGGCAAAATGACTTTGTATGATGGCAGCAAGAAAAGCAAAGAAAGAGAAAATGTGCATACATAAGTGAGGACTGGGTGAAAGGGATGAGGCTCTTCTGTTTTGAAAACAACGTATGTATCTCAGTGAAGCCAGTTTAGGTCAAATGGGATGTTCAAACTAAGGTCAAAACGCAGAGAAGTGCCTGAATGAAATTTCCTCCCATATCAAGGACTCAGAGTTAAAATCCCAGTGAGAACAGCAGCAAGTATGAATTTGCATTCCTCACTGTTATTCCTCTTGAACACACACCACAGGTGCTTTCAGACACTCTCTGGTTCCAGTGCAACTGGAACCAGCAATGTGCTCTGGGCTGGGACGGGAGGAGTTTGCACAACCTCTGATGGCAGCTTGGTATGGTAGATCCTAACCTCAGCACTTACAGTCAAATCGTTTATGAAGTAAAGAAGTCATGAAACAACTTATTTGTTTCAGTTGTGGATTTCTGTTGGAAGAAAGCACTAGCATTATGTAGAGCGCGTAGTCTTGGGCTCATATACATTTCTTGAGACCAGTAGGTACTAAATAAACTGATTTAAATTGTGAGGCAATATATATTTGTTGATGAGATACAGTATTTGAAAACTGAGTGTATATTTGTACGTTACTAAATTTCAGTTCCTTGTCTTATCTAAGATAGAACAGAAAGTGTTTCACGTTTGCATGAGCGTGAGGGATTGTGAGATCTGCGTGTTGAAACAAAGTTGTGGTTTGTTTAAAAATGAAACCTCTTTCCCCTGGGTTTAGTAATATGCCAGGAGAAACGAGCAGATCTCAGTGCAATGCAAACAAAAACTCACACAGTTCCCAGGCTGCAGAGATAAAATAAAATGATACAGCTCTGAAGTCCATGTATAATATCCAAGAAAGTTTCAATTCAGCACCTCATGTAAGGTCACTCTTCTACCATCTCCTAAGAAGAGAGCAGTAGAAACATACTCACCAACAGCCACTAGAAAATCACTTTTCAGAAGTAAAATTCAGGGAAATAAGTACTTGTTGAACTTATCACTGCATGCAGCTTATTATTCTTTGGTACTCAGTTGTTGTAAATGATAAGGAGAAAAAAAAAATCTTGAGATCAGTAAAGTCTATGAAAAGTCAAGCTCTGTTAATGAAGAGAACTTCTACAGTAAGACAGTCTGTATATCTCAGGGCAATAGCTCCTTTAAGTCCCCAGGAGAGAGGGTTTCTTGTCAGAATGTATTTCAGATCATTAAGAGAAGGTTTTATTACTACTTTTTTTTTTTTAACCTTTATTCCCCAAACATCTTGTATTAGTCAGTTTGAGACCTGTATACCAGTTTTATATGGGGATCCACAAGATTTATATGGGTGTTCAGCAGACCTTGCTTTTTCATAACCAAGAATGCTTAATTGATATTTTTGACTGTGCTTTAAACTGCACCAGCAAAAAGGTAGGTATAATTGCCATGAGCAAAGAGTAAGATCAAACTGTCTGTTCATAGTGCTTCCAAATTGGCTACTTCTCTTACTGAATATCCAATGTCCACATCTAACCACAACAGAACAGAAGTGCAGCTTTCAAGAAGGACCCTAGTAAGCAGGGGATGGAGAGAGGTTTTCCTATAATACTAAAGTTACATTACAAACACCAGCCCATTACAGAAAAGCTAAGAAATTGTTCAATTATAGATTTTTTTCAGGACATTTTAATTTGTTTCTAGACCTTCAGTCTCTGTCCCATTTGGTTTTCGTTCCTATTAGTAATCCTGGAGCTTAACCACACAGCAGAGAGCACTTCCAGTGTCACAGCAGAGCAGATGGTAACTTGGTATCATTGCTACAAAGGAATCAAGTAATGCCAGAGCATGTGTTAGTGATATTTGAGAGGCATTTACTGCAACCTCAAACTAATCCTCTTACCCTGTGTTTCCAGACAAAAACAAGGAAGGGAAAGCTCTGAAACTGTAGTAATGATTGAGCTTGTCTAGCTTGTGCTAAGGGCAAAAGGCTTCAACAGAAAAGAGAGTTTGATACGAAGTTAGAGGAAGTTTCCTTTACTGGTTTACAAAAGCCCACTGAATGGTTGATCTTAAAAAGAAAAATGAAAAATATAGTAGGCAGTCTTTTAGTTTTATTATAAGTTTATTACTAAATTTTTGAGATGTTAATTGCATGTTTTCACAGTCTGTTTACAAGTCTAACCATAAAATATCACATCATCACTCTTGAAATACAGAATAAATGAAGGCCTATGAGGATTTCATCCCAAGCAGATATGAAAACTTGATTTCTATTCAATATTTTTTTCAGTTTAAAAACAAATTAATTTTTTTTCTGATTCATATATAGTGTGGTTTAATTTTGACACACTTCTGTTTCCTGTTTGTTCA